TGACCACTACTTTTCAACATGAGCTACATTATAAAAAAATCAATTTACCCACAACAAGGACAGCTAAAAACGGACGAGCACACATACATAGCCGCAGTGTGCTAGCCCCGTTTCTATCTTTCCTCGTCTTGGGCAAATTAGTCGCAGACTAGCTCTCTCAGCGATTTCACCCCACCTTCGCCTGTGTGAAAGTCGTCCATCAAATAGCACTGCTGCTGAACCGCTCTTAGAAGTTATTCACTTCACTTGAGAAAACGTGAGTACTCTTTTCTGTAATCTGCTTTCAATCATGTCGATCTGTCCCAGTTTTATATCGAGGTAATAGCTTTTATAAAAAGCTCAACTTTTTTTTAAACGTTTTTCAGCCAATCAGAATGTTTAACCTTTAGATGTTTGTCGCTCCAAAGTTCTTGCACAAAAATTTTCTGAGCAGAGAAGACACTAAAAAAGGCATTTAGCCTAATTGTGAAGTAAACTTTGCGAGGGGAAAAAAATCTTTCTCAAGTGACAGAGAGATAAAGAACTTCTGGTGATCTTAAAGGACAAACATTGATTTGAATTCCCAAAATAATTAGCACTTATAACCAACAAAGGCTAGACACATTTAGCTAATGAATGGGTATATTGAAGATAAAATGTTTGTCCCAAGTTGCTTTAATACCCAAGTTGACACCTTAGTAACTGTTGAGCACTGCACTTATTGACAACATGTCGGTTACCAGAAATGTAACCTGTAATATATATGCCTCACGGAACTCCAAAGCCAAATTTAGCAGATATATACTCCGTTTCCCCTTCAGTTGAAGCGCAGCATACACTACGAGCCATCCCAGTCAATTTAGCGTCAAGTCTGATGCGGCCTTGAGCTCTGCCTCCCGTTCCACACAACTGGAAGGTCATGTGATACTCTTCCGGCGCCGGATCAGCTGGGATGGCCCATACCATTCACTATGCTTTAACTTAAAGTGAAACGGAGCATAGTGGAGACAGCACTGTAAGTATTCAGACTCAATATTTCGAAATTAATTAGTGTTGATTTTCATTTCTTTTATATTAAACTTTCACAACCAACAAAAGTAAAAGGTTTCATGGATTACCAGTATCCCCAACCATTGGGCAATTGATTTGCATGATAATTTTACAAGTTTTTCTCCAATTGCAAGATTTTGAATTATTTTGGAGTGGATTATCTATTCTCTACAGCAGAAGACTGACTAATAGAACATGCATATCACAAGATGCATTCCCCCCCCCCCCCCCCAGACAATATAATTTCAGCAATATTTTCACTTTGTGACAATTTAAAGCAGTCCTCCACTCTACTTTTCTCTCTCGCATCTGCTCATGGCAAGCAGAGAAGGAAGCAGGGGCTGCTGGGAAAAGTATGCACATCCGTCTCCATCACTTCCTTCCAGCCAATACGTGGCTTGCACATGACGTCATTTCCGATGCCCTCCAGAGAAAAGGGGAAGAAGGAGCTCCCCTCTTATCAGGGTCCCCCTTTGTGCCTCCCGGATTTGCACAGGCTTCGCTATTCTCCTCCCAGAAGATTATAGAAGATTAACCTGTCACTCAAAATTCTTAAAAAAGCAGCTTCCCTCTCCTCCTTTTACATAGTGTTCAAAAGTATGCGATGTGACATCAGCGCAAGGAGCCTATAGGAAGTTACAAAAGGAAGCTATCTCCTTGAAATAGCAACCACCTTTCAGGCAACCATGTAAAATCAGTCTTGCCAAGATGAGTCTTGCGCCCTAAATAGTTATACTTTATTTTTTTTTCAAGGAAAATGCATTTTATGACATGGGTGTCCTATCCATGTCATTCTAACTTGTTCTAACTTTTTTAGTGGCCCTCTAAGAGGCACCTGTCACTGACCATAAAGTAGGACGCTTAGAGGAATCCAAAAGATTTGTTGAGATAGGGTTTATTTTCATAAATCTTCCAAGTTTTACATTGCACTCAGTAGAAGCTGTAAGCTCAGCCAACTTGAGTAAAATAAACTGCGAGAAAACATCACGAAAAAGGTTACAGCAACAGGACCAGACATATACTGCGGAAACATTTGCAGATTCACTAAGAAACATACTCAACTTCTCAAAAAGTGTAATGAGTGGTAACAACCAAGCTTAAGTTAGCAGAAGAAACATGCAGTTTGAAAGTAACTTTGAACTAAATAAAATTGACTAGATATAAGCAAAGGTGTGTTACAAACGGATCATTCTTGCATCCGTAGGGCAACTGCAAGAGGAAAAAAAAAGTAATTACACAGACGAAAACTATAACAAAAATGTTTAGCTCCTATTCATAGGCAGTATCGACGTTTACCAGGAATAGGTGTGACAGCTACTCGCTTAGTTCTATATACACAGATATTAGATTGTGAAAATAGTGGTAAATAAGTTCAATAAAAAAACCACTAGAGTAACCTGCCACTGATGTTACCATATCTGTTGCTGCTCAAAGTTATCATAAAACGAACATATGTCATATTAATGAATAGAGAAGGAAGAGGAACAGTTACATAAAACTAGAGGGCACACAGTCCCTTATCGCCATCTTGAGCGGAGTGTCACCCTTTCTCTACACCAAGTGTCATTATTAGCTGTAGATTACTCCCAGAAGTCAAAAACTTATTTTCGGAAACCTCAATGAGACAGGCAAATGTCCTGCTTGTCCTCTGTCAATAACATAAACGTCATAATTATTGTGATCAATAAATTACATGGGTCCCCACCCCCTAACCACCTAAAAAAAGCTGTGCACATGGCAGGCTTCATGTTTCTTGGTAATGACATTAACGAGATAAACACTCACTTTTCTCAGCACTGTTTCTAAAGTGCAGTCAAGGTCAGAAAAACAAACTGACATATTAAGGAACATAATTTCCACATCAAAGGTCACTCAATGCCTGGAAAGTAGTTATAAAAGGGGAAGTCAGAGTGAAAGAAGCTGACTATAAACATAATAGTGTAAAAAAAGTGCTTGCCTCTTTCTACAATGTCACCTCTAGGCAGAGGCAGCGCCCTCCTGCAAAAAGCATATTAAAGAGTAAAGCTATACAGGGCGTTCCTTTTATTCTTTACAGAATTGAAAAAAAAAAAGCTGATAGCTACGTGGATTCGTCTTCAGTGTATGTTTGTGGGGCTTGGAGGGCATATCAGGGGATAAATGTCACAGTATGTTGGCTAACAAAAATCTGTTAATTAACTTTTTCATAAACGGTTTAATGGGCCACGTTGCAATTGCAGTTTTAAAGGGAGCCATTAGTAAAGGCTAACCCAATTTATACAGTTTGCAAAAAAAAACAAAAAACATTAAGATATTTATTGTTAAATTTTTGCCTTTCTTCGCTTGATTAAAAACCGCGTGCTGAATGGCGCGCCTGGTTAGGATTCGTAGAATAGTGATGGATTTGTCTCGGGTTCATCGTCACTATCTCTACAGCGTGCCTTTGATAGACGCGCCGGCGTCACTCTTCTGAGATTGTGACAGATGAACAAAAGTGGCTATGTCACTCTTCTACCAAGCATAATCAGGTGCGCGTTTTGAATCAAGCAAAGAACGACAAAATTTTAACGACGAGTATCACAAAGCTCATTGTCTTTTCGCAAATTACCTCCATTGGGATGGGCTTTATTGATTGCTTCCTTTAGAACTGCAATGGCAACATGGCCAATTAAGCCATCAAATAAAAAGTTAATTATCAGTTTTTGTTAATTAGTGAACATACTTTGACTTTTATCTCCTTACCTAATGTACGCCGAGCCCCAGGAACATACAGTGAAGCGGCATTCACGTAGCTATCGGCTCTTTTTTTTTAAAAGATTTTGTAAAAAATAAGAAAAAACATTCTGTATGCTCAAATCTTAAAAGCTTGCAAAAAAAAAAAAAATGGGTTGTGGATATTTAGACAGCGTGATGTTGATCAGCCATTCAAATGATGCGCATACGTCTACGCTATAGATGATATATTTAGCCAGTGCAGTACAACTGGTAGTCTGGGTCTTTAACATGCGTTACACAGAAGTGATAAACAAACGTGTGCCGGTATGATGATCATTCAAATCGAAATAGACAGGGGTGGGGTTTGAGCACATGATCCGTGGGTTCTGCAGCAAAGGTTTGTGAACAATCGTACTAGCTCTCTGAACAAGTCATAATTAGAAGCTGGGAATTTCATAACCTAAATTGTGTCAAAGTTAACTGAAATAATATGTGAGAGCATTTTAGATTTTTTTTTAAAAATCATTATGTAAAAGTTTTCAAAATTCATGAAGTCTCAAATAAGTGTTATAGCTATACAAAAAAACTTCAAAAGGAAATCGGTTGTATGAATATTTACACTGAAGTGTCAGTCACGGCTCCTTGATTCACAATTATAAGATACACTGAGGCCAGTGCGGGGTAAAAGGTAATCTGAAGTAGCTCAAAGTGCATCACAGTTGTGATGTCAGGTACAAAAAGCATGCTGTTCGAACTCCTGATCAAATAAGGACACTGGAGCGAGGAACCTTTGGCTCCGAAGCAGGTTCAGCATTCATAAATGTAAATACTGAAATTTAAAAATATAAAGAGAAAACTTTAGCATATCCAATAAATGAGGTGACATGCCTTTGACTGTGTAACGGGACCTGGAGGTCTTGCAAAACCGAAACATGGGCTTCTTCTCTTCCCCCTCGCCTCTTGTGCACTGTCCCATCATACGTTCACGAGCACTTGTCAACTGCCTTCTGGCAGATTTCACAAGCACTCCGACTTGTACGGCTGTATAGCTCAATAGACTAGACGTTGGCTTCAACCAGAGGAACACAGGCTCGAACCCCAGCACTCCCACTCTTCGGGTGCTTTTTTATACTGCTGAGTGCACTTTTGTCATTGCCATGGCACACCATTACCATGGCAATGTTGCACACATCCTGTTAAATGCAGTCATGGACACACATCGAGCACTCCAGTTGAAGGGCTGTATACAGCTGCCTCCATAAAAAAGTGGAATCAACTTATGCCAAAATAGAATCTGTAGCAGTCACCGTTTTCTTAACGCGGGCCGCTCCATATCTCAGCCAATCAGCAATGGCTTTCAGCGTTGTGTTTTTCTGAACTACAATAGCTTCCTCACCATTTTTCTTCTTTTGCTCAAAACATCTGTGTACTGCCCCTGTTGCAGGCACAAACATGTGAACATGAAGATGGCAATTAATTTGCAATGATGTTTTTCTTACATACATGTCTATAAAGACCATGTACTAGGTCTACTGGCATGCGATAATAGCAAACGTAACATAATTTAGGTTCATAGAAGTGAAAACAAGTATGTTTGATTTTGAAGCTGGCACCTTATTGGAAGCAAAAGGATAACCAACAATCCCACAAAATATGTTGCAGTAACCTAGCAGGTATTGCTGTGATTTTTAAAAGGACACTGCCTACAACTTCAAGAGCTAATATTGGAATCTCTATTTTGCCAGGATGTTCATAATTGCAAAATCAAAAATAAGTCTTCAGAGAAGATTAAAAATGGCAGTCAATTGGAATTCTTATTGCTACAAAAACCTCTAATGGTGTTATAAAGGCCCCATTACCTGTCACCACACAAACAAGCTGGAGGTGCTCCATACGTAGTTTCCCCTTTCTGCCAGTCATGCAGTAGTTCTTTGCAAGAGCATCTAGCATGCACCGTTTCATTACAGAGCGCGTGACATCTTGCACCGACGAACCTCCAATGAGCGCGAGGTGAGCAATCTGTAAAGAAACATACGCAGTCATGTCTTGTTAATATGGACCCCTCTGATATGGACACCCAGCTATATGGACGAAATTCTCGGCCCCGGCCTCTCGCCGTGCACTTCTGCCTCTATAATATAGAAACCCGCAGCCCAGGCTATGGCCGGCTGTTTTGGGGACGAAATGGGAAAATACAGGCATTTTTGTCTCACTATGTTATTATGGACACGGGTCCACGAAGCAAAATGATAAAGAAAGAATATTAGTGACCTGCAGAGGTCCCGTGTGTACCCGGAATTCACTATTGTCGGCTGTTCCTTGCCCGTCTCGTTATTTTTACGGATGAAAAAGATTAGTGAACCCCTGAGGTCGCAGCGTGCATACCCAAAATTCACTATTGTCCGTTACTTGTCTTTTCATTTTGAATACGGGTCCACAAACGACCCCTCCCCCAAAGAAAAGAAAAAGATAAGTGAATCACAGAGGTCACAGTGTGCACCCTGAATTCCCTATGGTCTGCTGCCCATCTTGAGATAAAACCTGGGTACCTAAAGGTGGTAGAGTTTTTTCGGGCTTTAAAATTAAAAGGCATGTCATCCCCTTTCTACACTTATTGCGGTATGCAAATAGCATCACACAGTGCTACACAAAAGTTGAAACTTTACAGCCCACACTGTTACACAGAAGTTGAAACTTTGCCAAGTGTCTTCCACACATCAAGAAAAAGATGTTAAATGAACCTAACTGTTGTTTTAAGACTTTAGGGCTGGTACTGAATCAAGGATAGTATAAATCTCTGCAAGGTTCATCAGGTCAAGTGAAACCAGTACTGCATTTGCCTATCAGCTAACCAAACTGTCTTCATACAATGCGTTTTTTAGTATGTGTGGATGACCATGGACTGTCGATAGATTCTCGTTCGAGTGTGTGAAGTATTAACATACAAGGGCTTCTTTGTTCTCATCCTCCTGCAGAAGTGTCTTCAACTGTGCAACGTCCTCATGAGATGAGAGTGGCAGAAGGTGGAGGACCGCAGGGATCGTAGTTGGTTTCTTGGGCTCATGACGTTGTGCCTCCAGCTGTCTCAATATTTTAGCTTGGCTCTGGAGCTGCGCCGCAATGCCTCCAAGCAGTCGAAGCACCTCTGCCTGGAATCCTGATAATTTCAAGAATAGCTGTACTATAAATTCATAAGTATAGATTAGGGCTCTGATGAATAGGTAAGATATGACATTACAGTATTTGTATGCGTGATATGAGCTGATCTTACCTGTTCGCTTACGTTTAGCTCCCGGAACATCCGCAGAACTGGACGAAGGGGGCTGCTGATTCTGAGGGACAGGCATTTTTGGAGGCGCAGGAGTCGGAATGAATGTAGAAATCGATGCTTGTGGGTTGCCATGTCCATGTTGTGCAACTGGTTCACTTTCTTGCTCATCCTCGGATGATGACAAGATGTGCCGAGGTGGTTTTCTCTTTCGTTTCTGCGACCCTTCTTCTTCTGTCGCAAGGTCGGATGTCTCCTCTGCTTTTTTTTCTTTGCGCTTGGCATCTTCGTATGTCGCTGAGGGAAGAAAACTCAATACTGTAGCTTATGGCAAAGTTACGTCTAGATGTGAGCCTATGAGCACTTCATAGTTAATAAAGGCATTATTATCACCAATAGTTTACACCAAAAGCCCAGATCATTTTATGTTGAACACATATGTTCGCAGCATCTGGTAGAAATATATTGGCCATGAATGTCATGTACACACTAATATCGGCTACATTAGTGTCAGTATGTGAATACAAGCATTTGGTGTTATTACACTAATACATTCATCCTCCTTTAGCCCATTGTTATTTTTGCATGCAGTGTAATGACTGAAAAAAGCCTACCTCTGCTTATTTCAATCTGAATGAGCACAGTACCAGGACACATTTATATGCCATAATGAGCAATGTGTAACATATATTAAATATAGCAGACTAGCAATAATAGTGGACCGTAAATTTCTCACCTAGAGCATGAACCAGCGCTGCCACACCTCAAAGACAGGCTGTTCTTTAAAAAAATTTGCAGTCTTATTAAATGAGAAGCCCACAACATGTGTCTCAGAAAACACCTTTTCTCAAAAGGTGTATTTTTAGCCTAAATTGTCTCTTCAAGGCTAGTCCCAGCAAGCAGATCATAAGAAAAATGTACTGCATAATTCTGAATTGAGTAGGCATTTGTCAGTACAGGTGGCATATCCTTTTTCCACCAAGGTTGGTGGTTAGAAAAATATGATAATGTGGAGCCTCGCAAGGTGCTGCAAACCGGTTCATTCAGATATTAATCAGGCTTCAAAGTTTGGAACATAATCAGTCAGCAGGTTCAATGAATTTGGATACCAAGTCATCATATTTGTAACTGCGCGCACTGACTCAAGGAAGTAACAAAAACAGCAACCTTGCCAATTTTGCGATTTGGCAGCTGCATCTCAAAACTGCCCGACAGTTTAAAAAGTTGCCTGCTAATTAGCTAGAAAAAAAAAGTGATGGTCACGATTGCTTCATGTGGCAACAGGCCTTGCATATTTTTACAGGCACTTGTTTAGGCTTAATCTATTCCCTGTAATTGCTGTAAGGATTAGAATCTACACTTATGTTTTTCTTTAACTTCAACAATCTTTGATCACATCTTTAGTAGGAAAATTGGCTGTGCACAATTGTAATTTTGGTATTTTTGGAATGCTTACGGCCCATAGTGTGAGTTCTTACAAAAATAGATGACCTCAGAAACATAACGAGGTTTCTGAGATTGTCTACCTGCGGTGATAACTCAATCTACAGGCTGTGAGCTTCCTAAAAATCCAAAAATTACAATTATGCATTGCCTATTTAGTATTTTCCTATCAAAATAGGATCAAAGACCGTGACATACCCCTTTTTGAGCGAAAATATCGTCCCGGGATGGGTGGTGCATTTTCCAGCAGCGGCACCAGCAGGGTGACAAGGGCGCTTGTCAGTCAATGGCGAGCGACGGCAACCCCGTATCTGGGTGCGGACTGCCTTTCAGACTTTTTTAGCTAGCTACTTAATCTCTCATCGTTGGAGTTAGGAATAGCATGGGAGCGAGAAAGAAAATGTCTCCCGCAAGTATTACTAGAACACGCTCCAGGAGGTAGACGAGAAGACATCATTCCCGCTGAGGAAGGCGAGGTGAAAACTATAGTTTGCATGTATTCCTATCGTCACAGGGTTAATATGCGGTTTTGTCTGCTACAGTATATAACAATATCAAGCATCTTCAAAAACCTCTTTAGCGTCCCTTTAGAGGCCAACATACACTACACGCTTTCCACTTTTTTGTACTTCCCTCTCTTCTATGTCCTCCCCGCATCTCTCCCTTCCACAACACGGCTCCCCCTCACAGTTTAGGAGAGCAGGTCGCTAATACGATTAGCTCCCCTGCAGAGGATAAAGGTCGAGTGTCGGTCTTTAAGGGAAAGGAACAGCTAAAATTTGTAAGAATCTTGATCCGGCAGTATTTTCATTACTTAATTATGTAACAGACACTTAAGAATATAACAGAGCCAATAAGCAGCTATGTGGACCAGCAGTTGATTTTTCTCCATAAGTGGCACAGAAGCATAATGACTTTTCAATATAAACTCAGACAAAATCTAGATCTTGTGCCCTAAAAACTCAAAAGTGTAGATGAGTAGATTTGTTTGGTTGAATATTACTTTCTGAATTATGAGTAAATAAGAAGAAACTTCCAGAAATAAAACTACCTGCACTGCATCACACATTCCATGCAAAAAACAAAAGCTTTCACCAGAAATAGAAGAGGGAATGTTCAATAGTGTAAAAAGAAATGCATGAAATGGATGAAGATTAATATAGGTACTACTTGCATTTATCAGTCTCTTTTCAGATACAACGTGAAAGGTAGAAACACTTGAAATACTTAGAATAAAATACTTAAAGGCTCCAAAATAAGACATGTCACGATACATAAGGTAAAGCCTTGCAAGCAAATGACTGTTTGTGGGATTAGCATAGAAATTACAAAGTGCAGAAATAATATTTGATTTCTATTATTGGACTTACAAGATGATCCCATGGCTCTGCATGCGAGTAAAGCCCAGCCAGCGGAGGGCTTTTCGCAATCTTTGACAGCCTTTCTCAGCCTGGTGCCTTTATAGGGTGGCCAAGCTGTGTTGTCGCCTTTCAACCAGTTTGATGGAACTACTGACAACACATCATCATCCTCCATGAAGCTAACATGATACATTATCTGAAAAGAAGAAGTATGCTATTTACTTTCTAAGCCATTTCTGAAAAATTTGCCTCTCAGAAAACATACAGCAGAGCGATACTGTTACACATGCAAGTGAGTAAGAGAAAAATAGCATATGAGCCCTGTCCATGTGGCAAGCAGACACATTTGCATTTGATGTCTTTCACGCTCCACAACGAGTACTCTGTTGAAAGACTTGACGCCTTGAAGATTCCAAGCTCACAGGAGGGCACTACACAGATGTACAGGTTATCAAGCACTCTGAAAAACTGGCCACAGATGCTGTGCTCCCCATTTTCTTGCAAAAAGTTCCTGATGAGGACCACATTTCCGTCCTTCAGCTGGACACAGTTGTCGGACGGCATGACAGAAAGCCGTGTGCCCTCCAAAGTGTGTTCAAAGTATTGGTTTCCCAGGAAGTTTAGAGGTGCTGGTCCATCACGGTGTTGCTTCAGCTTAGCTGGGCTTTGTTTTGCAGAACTCGGCGAGGAGGCGGAGACGAGCTCCGACTTCCGCTTGATCACTTGTTGTAGAGCCAAAGCAGGCCCCCTCACCAACTTCTTCAGCTTCCCAAGGACGTTTTCAAAAGGAAACGCTGAAAATGTGTCCACAGGGCCAAGCTGCCGGACATCATGTGCTAGGTGAATCAAGGAGTGGATGTTGTATACATAGATTCCATTCCCGTACAGGGTGCCAGCCTCAGAGACAAACTGTCTTAACAGGGACTCTGCAAGATCGCAGTGTGTAACTGCAAACTTGGGGCTGGCTAGTATAGCCACGGCACAGCTGAGCTTCATGAAGTGCATGTAGAACTGCTTCTCTAGATGTTTTCGGAGAAGTGCTGGTCCAAAGTAGAGCAGAAAACTGCGGAACTCGGCTGCTTTCCAGTGCTCTCGCTCATTCAATGAGCGTGGCTTGCGGTTGAACTCGCAAGGAGTGTGTGCCTGGAATGCTAGCAGTCGTTCCGAGATCTCAAGCTGGGATCTGATGGGCAGCTTACAAGCGGAAGGTGTTGATGATGTCCAGTACTGAACGAGCAGTTTCTTCATGACACCTAGACAGACTAAGTGCATATAGTCAAGTGGAAAGATGCTGATCAGACCAACACCCAGTGTCAAAAGTGGTGAAGTGCCACGGTGATGGTCGAGATTCACCTGATCTCTAAATTCTTCGTCGGTGCGCAGTGGGGCATCGACATCTGGGAACGTTATTCTCTTGCCATCATGCTTTCCTTTTTGAGTGCATTTCTCACATCCAAAGTATGCCATGTGTCCCTTGATGCTCTTGAGGTATGCCCTGGCCGGGGCATCGCAGACAAAGGCACGAATCCTTACTTCATACACCTTGCTGCTCAGACGGATGCCCTGGGCCAACAATGTTGCCATCTCTTCTATGAAATCTTTCATGAAGATATCCACATCTTCAGGTTTGGAGTCTCCTTCATAGAGAGCAGCAAGAAAAGGGGTCTGTCCACCACTTTCCTTGACTGAAATAAGAATCGACCAAAACTGCTTCCGCGAACTTCTAGAGATGGGAAGTCCATCCACATTGACGGAGAGAGAGAGTGTGGAGCACTCCGCAGGTAGGCACCCAGCTGAAACTTCAGCCATCAATCCAGGAGTTATACCAAAATAGTGGTAAAAACCACTCCCCATTCGGACAACCTCGGTGTTTCGTAAGGTCTTCAGGAGTGTCCGAGCATCACTGGGGAGGTCAGGGTGGTAGGGCCGAAGCAGCTTGAGCAATCGCGTCAAGTGCGATGCAGGTGTGTTCGCATTAAGTGCCCAGTCTGCCAGTTTGCTGGCCAAACTGGGCGAGACCTCGCCTTCCCCACCTTCATTCAGCAGCTGTTCTAAATCTTCCTCGTGAAACGAACCTTCCTCCTCATCGACATCTGATGATTCCCATTCCAGGTCGTCCAAGGGGTCATTCAAGGAAATGTCATCGTCTCCTTCGGAAGTAAATTCGGAGCTTCGTTGACTTTGGACTTCAATCAAACTATCTGTTGCCTCGGCTTTTGCCGCCACCGGAAGAGAGCAAACATCTTCATCGGTGCTAGAGTCCACAGGATCTATCAGGGAAACGTCATCGTCTTCGTTTGAAGTAACTTCGGAGCCTTGTTGACTATTGACC